TGTGCTTCATATTGCGTGAAACCATCAACTGGTGGGTTCAGTGTAAAAATTTCGAGTAAACCAATTGGGTCGTTGAGGGAACCACGTTGAGCTGAGTGCTTTGCGTTACCAGTGCTTTATGTTACCTCACATCGAAGGAATGACGTAAAAAAATTATGTGTGATTTAGGGGTGTAATTTTAGTCTGACCTGGCTCAACCCGGCTCATTCGGGCTTGGGCTGGGCCCAGCCCATGTCGGATCTTGCAAACTCCCACCAAAATCGGGCTGGGCCATGGGCTAAAAAACTAGGCGCAGAGGTATTCGGTCTTTGGGTCGGGCCCCTGGGCTCGGGCTTGGGCAGGCCTAAATAATTTTTTTATTTTTTTACTAAAATTTTATTATTTTCTATTAAAAATAACACTGGGCCTCGGGCCGGACTTTTGGGCGGGCCTTGAGCAGGTCGATGGGTCGAGTCAGGGGCCGGGCCAGACTTCAAAGCGATGGCCCAAGGCCTCGGGCTGGGCCCACCTGGAGCTGCCCGCGGGTCATGGGCCAAAATTACACCCCTTGTGATTGTTGATTTAATTTTTTTATATTATTTTCATTTTTTTGGATTGATTTACATTGATGAGAAATCATGTATTTTCCTTGGCATGACTCATGTTCAAATTTTATTTTGATTAATGTTTTGTAGCTTGAAACTTTTCTCCCCGAATCCCCCGAATGCCCAAAACGACGTCGTTTTGAATTTTTTTTTTCTTTTTTTCTTCCATTTTCCAGTCGTTTTTCCATTTTCCATTTTCCATTTTCGTCGCAGAGAGGAAGAGGGTCGCAGAGAGGAAGAGGGAGAGAGAGAGAAGAAGAGGGGAAGAGAGAAGAAGAGGGGAAGAGAGAGAGAGAGAGAGAAAGAGAAGAGAGGTTCGCCGATCGCCGATCGTCGCCCAGCCTGGTCGTCGTCGTAGCCCAGCTCCGATCGTCGCAGCAGCAGCTCGTCACAGCCCCAGCCCCGCCTCCGCCTCCAGCCCGATTTTGTTGGCCCCCTCCTCTCCAGTTCTTCTTCTTCTCCTTCTTCCTCTGATTTTCTTCTTTTGAAAAAAAAAAAAAAAGAAATTCAGGGGATTCGGGGGCTCAAATTCGAGCCCCCAATCAGGACTGTTTTATTTTTATTTTATTTTTTTGACGAAAAATCAATTGCCAATGGTTAGATTAGCATTATTTTTTTGACATAAAATGTTTGACCCTTTTTTTTTTTTTATCGACAAAAATCAATTGTCAATGGTTAGATTAGTACTTACGAAAATTAGTCTCCTTACCCTTGTAAAGTACTAAGGGTCTGTTTGATAACAATTCCGTTTTCAGTTTTCAGTTTATATTTATAAAAATTTAAAAAACTGTCATAAAAATTTCGTTTGATAATTTTTTTGGTTTATAAATGGTTCTCATTTTATAAATTTGAGAAAAAAACGTAAACTCAAAAAATGAGTTTACGTTTTCTGTTTTCATTTTTTTTTTTCAAATAATTTATTTTCAATTTTTTTTTTCAATTATTATTTTTCAATAATTTTTTTTTCAAATAATTTTTTTTCCAATTTTTTTTTTCAAATATTTTTTTCCCAATTAAATTTTTTCAATTAATTTTTTTTCAATTATAATGTGCGTGATCCCATTGTCATAAATAATAAAAATAAATATAAATATTTTAGGCCTGAACAAACATACTTTTTAGTTTATGTTTTTAAAATTTTTTAAACATTTTGTTCATACTAAACGCGTTTGTAATTTATGTTTTTCTAAAAATAAACAAACATCAGTTTATAAAATTTTTGTAACCATAAACCAAAAACGTAAACGTTACCAAACGCCACCTAAGTATTTGTCTCATTAATTTAACTTCTTATTAGAGAGAGTTGAACCCATGACCTTCTTATTGGGACTAAATCCTTAGGTTCCGTTTGATTACAAGGAAAATTTGGTAAGAAGTGAAAGTAAAAGAAAATAAAGTGAAAGAAAAGAAATAGAGAAGAAAATATATTTTCTTCCAAATATTTGATTAAAATGAAAATTCTGTAAGAAAAAGATAGAAAAATTTAAAAATTTAGTTACAAATGACTCATACATTCAATTTTTCTTATGTTTTCTTATATTTTTTTTTGCAAGAAATAAAAAAATAGTTACAATGGTAATATGAATTGCACAGGGTTGCATGTGGTTCTTGTTTGGAATTATGATCCAATCAAAAAATTTCAAAATTCATAATCAAACATACAACTCAAAACTATTCAAAACTCAATTTAAAAATTATTTTCAAAACTCATAACTAAACACACAATTCAAAATTCTTTTCAAAACTCTATTTAAAAAAAAAAATCAACTTTTTTTATTTTGTTTTTTCAAATTATTTTTAGAATCATGATTTCAATGTGGAGTCGTGTTTTGATTTAAGTTGAATTTTGAAACGAGAAAATTTGTTTGATTATGAGTTTTGAAAAAAAAAATTAAGTTTTGAATTGTATTTTCAAAAATTTTGGATTTTTTTTAATATTTAACAAATTCCTTAATTTTATTTTTTTAGGGTAAATATTTTATATTTTAAATATTTATTTATTTATTTTAATGTGTGCTATATTTCATATATTTGTGTTCTGTATTTTTTAAAAAATATTGTAAATTTAAATATTAAAAACTTTTATTTTAAATATTTTTTATTTTATAAATATGTTTTTAAATATTTTAATTTTTTTGTTATGTGTTTGTTTACAGTTTGAGTGTAGAGTTTTGTGTTATGTGCTTGGTTATGAGTTTTAAAATTAGTTTTTGAATTGAGTTTTGAGTTATGTGTTTGGTTACGATTTGAATATAGAGTTTTGAAAGTAGTGTGGAGTTTTGAATTATGTGTTTGGTTATAAGTTTTGAAAATAGTTTTTGAATTGAGCTATGAATTATGTGTTTAGTTACGATTTGAGTGTAGAATTGGGTTTTGAGTTTAAATTATTAAAATTATAAATATTTGTACATAAAAATTATATATTTAAAATAAAAAATATAAATTTTTTTAAATATTTTTTAATATTTTAAAAAAATAAATCTAAAAAATTTCAAAATACAAGTCAAAATTCAGAAACTCCAAACTCAAAATATAATCAAAACTTTTTTCAAAACTCATAATTAAACAAATTTCTTCTTTTTAAAACTCGACTAACAATTTCACACTTAAATCACAACTCTGCACTTAAATCATAATTCTAAAATTAAACTAAACGGAACCTAATTTTCTTATACTTTCCACCACTTTCAAGTTAAACAATCTCATAGAACTTAAATATTTTCTCCTTTTTTCACTTTCTACTTATTTCATCATAAACAAACTTGAGTCTCAAGAGAAGCATGGTGGATGAACTCAAGTTCAACTTGTTAAAATATTCATTTGAGATGGATTCGCTATATTAACCAATCAAGGTTGAGCACATTTTTAAGTCAAGCTTTAATGGTTACTACCCGGGTCAACTCAATTATATACACCTTTAAAATAATAATAATAATAAATAAATAAATAAATAATTCAAGCTATTTAAGCTTGATTAGTAATCAACTCAATTAAAACTCTTTCTAAATCAACTTAGATCAACTCAAATATGTAAACAAGCTAAACTCACATATTTAAAATTCGTTTAATTTTTAAGCTAAAATTTAGGTGGTGTTTGGCAAGTTGGGTTGGGACTAAAATAGCCATAAAAGATAAAACATGCTATTTTAGCCACAACAAACAAAACATCACATCCAACCCATAATCATTACACTATTCTCTCACAAAAAAAGTCAAAAAAGCCAAAAAGCCAAAAAGCCCTTCCCAAACCAAACTTTTTAGCCCAGGCTAAAATAGCCAAAAAAGCCAAAAAGCCAAAAAGCCAACCCACTTCCCAAACGGAGGCATAGTGTTGTTGAGATGAGAATGTTAAGGTAGATGCGTGTCAAAACTACAAAAGACAGAATTAGTAATAAGTATATTCGTGAATGGGTAGGATTAACACTGATAGAAGATAAATTGAGAGAGAATAGATTAAGCATCCAGTTACTGAATTAACAGACTAAAAAAATTCAATTTACATTCGTCCGCCGGATTAACGGATGCAAATTAGACAGATTGACAGATAAATGTAAATCGATTTGACAGTTTAAATTTTTACAAATTTTAAACATAATATAACTTATCAATATTTTTTTTTTTTTGAATAACAATCCAACTCAACATAATTAAAAGATTATCAAATAAATTGTCAAATACCATATAAAAAAATCATACATTATCAAAATTATTTCATTATTTTTTTTATATTTAAAAACTATTTAATTTATTTTTTATTTTTTAAAAAATTAAACCTTATATTTTTCACACAAAAATACCAAATATTAACACTTGCCATTTGATAAAAAGATTTCTAAATTGAAAACATAATAGAATATTTAAACTCTTTTTCAATTAAAAACGCAAACAGAATATTTAAATAAATTAAAAACATAAAATCTTACAAGTCACTAGGAGTACTCGCAGTTTGACGGTTCAATTACAGCCAAAGAAACCTCAAATCCATCATTCATCCAAAACTAGACGAATTGAAAAAAATCAATCCGTACCTGTTTGCTCATCATGATGCATCTGTTCAAAATGCGACGGATTAGTTCGATTCGGTCAACTAGGGAGGACAATGCTAACCACAATAACAACCAGGCAGCACAATTCTCTACTCGTGGAATTTCCATAATAACCTCAAAATTATTAACACGATGTCAAAAAAAAAAATTAAATAAAAGGTAGCAACCTCCCCTCAAGGGTTCTAAAGTCGTACAAAAGTTTCCAAGCATTTTCGAAAGTAAAGAGAAAATTCTCTAGTTAGTTCTCACACTTTCTATATACAGTCCGTCTACCAGCAATTGCAGAGACAAATCAGGATGCATTAAATTAGTAGCAGTAAACTGCCCATTTGCTACAATCTCTTTTCATTAAACTACCTGCAAACAATCGAGAATTAACAACAATTTCATTCTACTTCAATACAACAATATATTATCATCAGTATAGAAGTGTGCAGATGTTCTAAAGCAAATGATGGCCTCATAATATACACAATATAATCAGAGTCTACAGCTCTAGGTGGAGAGAGATTCCAATGACTGGATGACTTACAGCTCACCAATCAGTCAACTGACACAACATTGACACAACATTGGCACAACAATCGATCAAATTACAGGTAAAAAGACAAAAGAAAAACAACCTGTTCAAAGTGCCATTTCTGCCTGTAATGCAGCAAGTTCGTCTTCCTCGGCGGTGCGCTTCTGAGGAGCAGCACGAGCTGGTATCCTGCCTGCCGGTGCTTGCACTGGGGCTGCAGGGGCCGTTGTGGCAGGTTGAAGAAGCTGTTCCTCCAACTCGGCACCTTCCAATTCTTCAAGCTCTGCTTCCAACTCATCCTACAATAAGAAAATGTAATTAGTAATAGATTTACATTGTTGATCAGTTTGGTTATTGAAAACATCGAGAACAAGAATACGAAGTAGTCTTGAACGGAGCTGAGAAATATGAGAAGAAAAACCTCATCAAAATCGGCCGCTGCACCAATGGGTGTAGCCAATGCTTCTTGAATCTGTTTCATGTTTTCGGTCTGCTCGTTTATTTCATCCATGGTCTTATCCACATCATCAATGTTACTGTATCACATGATGTCAGTTCAAAATAATTGTGTCAATTTAAAATTTAGTGTATGTTTCAATTGTTACACATCATATGCTGCATGCAGTGAAATAGAATTCAAGTAAAAAGCCAGATTCACTAATTTGTTTGGGAAATTTCTTTCCTCGTTAGCCTTTCTTGCCTCATCAGCAAATAGGCCAAAATAAAGAGTAAACTGAAATAAAGATGGCAACAGGTCAGGACCAGGACAGGGTAACCCTTTACCAAACCCTGACCGAGGAAAATATACCTCTTCCCAAACCCATCCTGAACCCATGAATAGTCAGGGGAGGGCAGGGTGGGGTAGAATCTTATAGCAATTTTAATGGGCCAGCCAAGAGTGTTTTGCCTGACAAGTTAAGAACTATGAATAATTGGAACAAATGGCAGTGAATTCCACACAATTTAATGGCCAAGATCCCATCAAAGTGCCAGAAATCTAGCTGTCCCTTTCTATTTCAAACTTTTTCTCCACTCTAATATCTTGTACATGTGGCCCACAAAGAGACAACAGTAATGTGGTTTAACATTCACTCAAATTGTAAGGGGACTTTGCTTTTATAACTCAAGCGTCCCTCATATTTGTCTTTCTGTTCCAATGTGCAATCAAGTCTGCTTAGCATTTTGTTATTTGAATATACGACACTTTTTATGTTGTATCCTTGATTGTATACAAAGAAACTTCCCACAATATCTATATGAAAAGTCAGAAGACTCTTAAACCATTATAAGTATTCATCACCCCTAATTTATATGTCTCTGCGAAAAAATTTACGAGTATCAGAATGCCCTAAATATTGTGTGTAATAAAAAAAGTATAATCAGGGCAGCGTACTTTAATTAATTTCATTGTAGATAAACATATAAAAATTCATAAATAATTTATAAAAATTTATTTCATGACCTATAGATAAAGATAAAATTTTAAAAATTATTTTAAAAAAATAATTTCATGACTTATAGATAAATAAACATATAAAAATTGATAACTAATTTATAAAGATTAATTTCATGGCCTACAGATAAAGATAAAGATTAAATAATTGATTTTCAAAAAATTAAAATAATAAAATTTAGATAAAGATATGATTTGTTAATCTATATATCTATCAAAAACATATATATCTAAATCTTTATTTTGATTTACTCATTTTTTTTTCTCCTATCACATATTATATTTTTTTATTTTAAATTTTTTATCTTATGAAATGCTCTTATCTATAACTTTTTATCTCCTATTAAATTCTTAACCTTCTCTTGATAATTTTTATTATTCGTTATTATCTACCAAATGATAAAGATTATAAAATAAAATAAAAAATTATCGCTCTTAATGAGAATAGTATTAATAATGAAATAATAAGGCTACATGGGAGAAGGTAGCACAAAAATCTCACAAAATTAAATTTCTTCACTATATTTATAAAGGTAATAATTTGAGATTCTTTCTATTAGTTATTAAAAATAATTTGCATTAGATCATTGTTATGTTTTTTTTTTAAAAAATTTTTATAAGGCTGTCATTCGTTATAGTATTTTTTCAATCCCATCTCTAAATTCTCTCTTTGAAATTTTTGTTTTTTCAGTAATTAAGTTTAGAATCAATTTCTTATCAAATTTGTTTTCTTGATCCTTATTTTATTGAAGGATCGAGGCGAATAAAACTTTCATATAATATATGAAATTAATGAATATAATATAAAGATGATAGAGAAGTACTACATATTTGTTAATATCTCTATGTTATTATTAGTTGATTTGCTAGATTATACTATCAATTTAGAGCCCATATGATTTAATTCAATGTTCATGACTCTATTTGTATTTGACCATTTTTTTGTTGAGTAACCGACATAATTTTTTTTTTTTTGGTATATAATGATTAAAGCTATCATTTGTTATATTTTTTCAAATACAATTCAAATAATTTTTTATCATTTTTTTGTAAATAAAATGGATTAAAACTATTCTCTTATATAATTTTTATAATACTATGACATTCTTATCTTGATTAATTTTTTTAAAATGACTTAGGAACTATGCAAGTATTATTCAAACTATGGAGAATGATTTATACTTTGATATGATATGAGTGCGCCATTGATAGAGGAAATCAAAGATAGAGAGTTACTAATATAATCAATTAACGATTTGTTTGAGAAGTTCTTTTTATAAGCAAGGCAACAAACTTAGATTAAAATTTTTTAAAAACTACTTATAAATTATAATTAAAAGTTGATATTTATTCATAATTTGATCCCACAGTAATAATATACACCACTGATTTAAAAGTCCAAGTAAATTTATGGTAACTTTTCTGAGCTTATAGAATTTCTCTCTTTTAATGTTTTGTTTAGTTTGATACAAGTTATTTATGTTATCAAGTGATCGTGATACTATTATTCTCAACAATTTTTTTAATTAATAATTTCTTATGCATGTCAAATTTTATTGTAAAATTTTGTGGGTTAATTATTGTTAACATCTACCTAGATAGCTTAATATTATGGCTTGTCGCTATTAAGATATAATTTAAGATTAAGATGATTTATTTATCACACAAAATATATATAGTCTATTTTTCCGTGCATCGCACGGGTTACCGCTAGTGTAAAAGTAATAAAAATAAATATACATATATATGTAAAAATAATGCAAAAATCAAAAGAACTACGGTTTTATGGGTTGAGGTTCTCTCTTATTGAAATCTTAGAAAATTTGAGAGACTCGTAAATTTTACTACGGGTCTTGTTTTAGTGATCTGAATAGTTTATTTTGTAAGATTTTTAATGTGTATCATCTATAAAAAAAATTAAGTTACTCCGATAATCGTAACATTTTTATTTTATTACATTTATTTCTAAAAAATAGATGATCTATTTCAAATATATATTTTTCGTCTATTTTTTCGGACACAAATGTGAATAAAAAAAATTTACAATAATTGGATTGACTCATTTTTTTATGAATAATATATATTGAGAGTCTTACAAAATGAACGGTTCAAATTATCAAAATAAGACTTATAATAGGTCCTATAGGCCTCTCAAATTTTCTCATGTGGAGATCTTAATAGGAAAGAAACTCAATCCAATATAGTTTTATCTTTTTATAAGGTTGAAACAATTTTTAAAATTTAAAACATATTTTTGATATTTATTTTTGTCAAGTTAATTTATCTTTTTCAAAAAAATTTAGAAAATCAAACCAAACATTTCTCGCGATTTCAAATCTCTGTTTGAAACAACTTGAGAGGTTTGTGCGACCTATTATAAGTCTCATTTTAATAATTTAAATTATCCATGTTGTAGGATTCTCCGTGCATATCATTCTTGAAAAAAAATAGTTCAACTCGATAATCATAACATTTTTATTTTATTATGTTTGTTTTCAAAAAAATAAATATCCCATTTTCAAAAATATATTTGGCATTTATTTTTTTAGATACAAACGTGATAAAAATGAAAAGGTTATGATTATCAAATCGAGTTATTTATTTTCACGGATAATATACATGAGAAATCTTACAAAATGAAATTTTGAATCATCAAAATAAAATCTATAATGAGCTCTAAGGACTTTTCAAATTCTCTTACATAGATATTTAAACTTGGGAGAAGCCGAACCATTCAAGGAACAATTTCAAGATAATTACACAGAAAAGTCTTATACTCTGCATACAAAATGGGACTTGCATTACATAAAAATGAATTTTTTTTTTACTGTTGATTTAAGATTTCTCAAAAACCTAAGTTACATCATTTGATAAATAGAAGAGAGGAATAAGTGGACAAACAAAATGTGTTATTATATTTGATTAGGATAAATAAAAGGTTATAGCATCTTCAATGGTTGTGTCATTGATTATGCTTTCAGATGGTAAAATATCTTGATCTGTCGGGTTCTCAACTCCCCCAACCCTAATGGGATGGGTATGGGGGTGGTTGAATAGGATAAGGTTAGGTTGGAAAAACTTTTGAAAAATCGGATTGGGTTTGGGACGAGGGCGAGGGTGAGGGCAAAGGCGGGGGGATTATATTTTTACCTAAACCTTACCCGACCGCAAATATAATAATAAATAAACAATAATATTACATATTTATGTAATATGTGTATATTATATTATTGAATTTTTTATAGAATATATAATATAAACCTTCATCAAGACCCTTACCTTCAATTCAATCAGATTAGAAATTATCTCAATTTCATTGCTCATTACACTAATCTAGTTAATTTTCATATGGATAGATTAGATGTTCTCAGTGGATGCTAATCTACTTTTGTTATTTTTCTTACAGATGTCAAGCCACAAACCTATTACAAAACCTTTTGCCATTGTGCCATCCAGTCAACCCATTGTTGTACCTCTAATTGATATAGTCAACTGATACTAAATTCTTGATAATATTTCTAAACCCAGTTATACTTCGACTCTGTCTTCAGACCCTTTTGCCTGCCAGTCAATTATGCCAATATATTATATAATATATTGAGTTTTTATTATATTATATATATAATATAAATTATATGTGTACAATATATAATATATATTTTTTTAATTATAAATAATATTTTTTAGTTTTAATTGTTAAAGTTTAATATTATTGTTAGATTTTTTTATTGTATTGCGGATCGAGTAGGATAAGTAGGGGTGCAACTCATAAATATACATATATATGTAAAAATAATGCAAAAATCAAAAGCACTACAGTTTTTATGGGTTGAGATTCTCTCATATTGAAATCTTAGAGAATTTGAGAGACTCGTAAATTCTACTATTGTTTTAGTCATTCGAATAGTTCATTTTGTAAGATCTTTAATGTGCATGGCTCATAAAAAAATTTAGTTCAATCTAATATTAGTAATATGTTTATTTTATTGTATTTGTCTCTAAAAAAATGAATAGTTTGTTTCAAAAATATTTTTCCTGTTCATTTTTCCAGAGGCAAATGTTATAAAATGAAAAGATTACGATTATTGAATTGAACTAATTTTTTTATAGATAATATATATTGAGAATC